CAATGACATCAAGGTTCCACTAATGCAACGTTTTGGATCCAAAATTGGATTTCTGACTCTCTGGTGTTGGCACAGGAACTCTCCTTTCTGGTTCTGAACAGCTGCAGCTCGGTGGAGTGATACAACGTTTCAGTCTGGCTGAGTGTGTGTCCCGTCCAACTGAACAGGTGTGTGAGGCTGTTCTGCAGCTACACCGAGCTGCTGTGTGGTGCATTTAGGTGCAGTTGTAAAACACTTTTCTTTAATTCACGTCATTGACGGTCGTTCGGTGTTTAGTGAAGAGAGTTCCAGTTCTCTCACTCTCACATCTGTCAGTCATGGTCATAATAATTGTGGAAGAATTTTCATTTATTTAAAAGCCCTAGATTAATTTAAGGTTCTAATTGTCAAATAAATGGTCATTTTGTTGCCAATTAGCGATGATTTTCTGTGTGGATTAGAGTGGCAAAAAAAATGTTTCCAACAAAAACAATTATTTCCTCATAAATGTGGTTAGAAATTCCAGTTTTCCTCCTTTTTTGAAGCAAATTTTTCAAAGCAGTGCAGCTCAACACTGACTAAGATTCAAAGATGAACATATTATATTGGAAAGATGAATGGACTTCATCATATTTTCATGTATATATTGGAAAGATTTTCCAGCTAAATAATCATTAAGGAGCACAAACTGAAACCCACAGTTTGACTGAGTGATTCTTACACTCTCTCTATTATGAATGGACTTCATCATATTTTCATGTAGTTGTGACTCAACATCAGCCTTCACTCAACAAACTGTCAGTTCATTCTCAGTGGTTTTGTTCTTTCAGAATGTAAATTAATGTCAATTAATTAAAGCCACAATAACTAAGTATTTGATCGAAGATACGAGAAATAATGAGAAGCAAGTTTTAAAAAATAACTTTTTGTCGTTTATTTGGTAATAAATTACATTTCAGAATTGGTGATACGACGATTTAAGGCCCGTGGCTGATGTGTGTAAATTTTGGTCATTTGTTTCTGCTTTTATGTGACGGATATTTTTATCACAACAACTCAGTGATGAAGCAGTGGCGGCAGAGCTGCGATAAAAACGTGTAAACTCCTCTCCCTCGAAGTCAAATTCATTCAGTTTTAATTGCTCAGGATTCCTGTGGTGTTGATTCACCGTTGGCCAACATTTTTCCACGACGTTTTTGGACAGCAGCCCTAATCCTTCATTTGCTCGTCTTCACTAGTTTCACTGTAAAATCAAGACTAATTAAAAACTCATTTCGTTGGATTGCACATGAGTATCCTGGTGTAAATCACGGCGCGTTAGGATGTTTTTGTCAGATTTAGGAGGACTCCCAAAATGTGTTGGGGGGAAAAAAGGAAAAAGAAAACTAGTGCAGCACAGCGTGCAATCGCAGTTTGACTCTGGGTTTGCAAAGGAAAAATAAAATACACTCCTACAGAGCCTAAAATACACATTTAAAAAAACCCCGTCAGAGCCTTTAAACCAGTGGAGTGAGACTGTGAGAATCAGCTCTAAGTTGTACTTTGATCTCCCAGCAGTTGTAAAAACGAGACTCGTTTGAAAAGTCCCGCAAAAGGAATAACATGATTTGGACACAAAACAGAAACAGAAGAACCAGGTGGAACGCCGGGATTCCCTCTTGATTTAGCTGTGATGTTCATTAGTGGAATGGCGGTGTGTGGCGGAGCACTTGTAACGCGCCGAGGAGCGAGAGGAGAAATAATAAAGCGAAGGAGCACGTCAATAACATTACACCGAATTAAGGCCTCGGACTGGGCCACATAAATCCGTCCTCCGTCACAGTCGGAGCCTGCGCTTCACTCCAGGGTGCCCACACATACATTTTAATCAGCCATTTGGCCGGCCGAGCTGACAACTGCCTGACAACAGTGGCCGATGAGGTTGATGATAAATGGCGGTGCGACTGGTTCAGGCTCTGTGTTTGTTTTCTGAGAACACCTGCCACTTCAAGGATTTTTTTTTCCACTGTTCCTGAAGCTTTCCAGGAAACAGGATGAGCCTTTTTTCCTCTCAGTCCATTTCCCTAATGTGCTAATGACACCGAGCTGCATCCAGAGCAGGGATTTCTGTAAAAAAAAACTGCAACATTGTGGAGATGCTGTGTACTACTTAGTTTTGTCACTAGGGATGAATGGTATGGATGTGATTGGTGCAGAGATTTTTTTTTTTTTTGTTACTGTAGACCGAACAGTTTGTCCTGAAGTTACTTTTTTGTTTTCTTTTTTCACGCCCGAGAAATGCTCTGTGCTCTGACGGCCCTTCAGGGGGGCCACGCCACTCAGTTTGAAAACCACCTCCTAACACTTGCAGTTAAATTGTTCAAACATTGTTTTTGACCCCAGTGATAAAGATGATTATGATCCTAGTTATTGTGTTTAAAACATTTGCTTTGAAATTTGGGCATTTCTGCATCGCTTTTTCTCTAAGCAGAAAGGAGGCTAAATTTGTGCAGTGATGCTAACACATGCTAATGTGTCGGTCCTGAGATTTAAATGGAATTTTTGGATCTTTCTCCATTCTTTTCCTTAACAATCTAACGTTGTCGTAACATTTATTTTCTCAAGAAAAAGAATAGAAAAATCTGACTTTAAATGTGTTTATTTTTGAATCCTCTAGTCAGTATTTCTAAGTCATCCTCCCACAATCCTCTTTCCAAATCAGACCTTTAAACACAGTCCTTTATTCATATTATTACTGAGAACTGGTGTCAGTTTTTTTTCCTCTTTTCCAAATGGGATATTCTTTTCCCAGCTCCACAGAACCATCTCACCTCTATTTCAAGACAACTTTTCCATTTCCGTCCCCCCGCAGCTACAGCTGTGACAGTAAAAACCAAGGCCAGCTTTTGATGAAACACGGGCAATTAATTAGCTCCGTTAACCAAGAACGTCCATGCGACTGTCGATAGACATCCCAAAAATGATTCCTAGTTTCTCAGCATGGAATGGTTTCTAAGAAGGGGGGGGGAAGGGGGGGGAAGAAAAAAACAGGAACAAGGAGTAGAACATCTGCTGAGGAAAAAAAAAAACCACCTGCACACATGAACACATTCAAACACACGGGGACTGACGTGACAAGTCATTATCCAGGCATCACCCAGTGAAGACAGAGAAGACTTTCAGGAGAGAGTTGAGCGAGAATCTACGAGCGACAGAGAAGAAATGTAAAGGGACATGGGAAGAGAGCTAATCGGTTCCTGATTAGATTTTCCAGGGACACGATTTTTCAGCACAGACTTCGCGCGCCGAGGGGGCGAGTGTGCTGTATTTTCTGAACCCAATGAAAATAAAATGTATGGTTATGTTTTCATTAGCGTGTAATCATCTCAAACTACGCATCACTGTGTTTTCAGTACCTTGGACAGCGCCCACAGCCATTAGGCAGTGAGTTCCCATCCGTTCAGTTTGTACAACTGTATGTGTATGACTGTAGCAACTGAATGTGAGGATTCAGTACTTCTTTATGAACCGAATGATATTATTATACTTCTACTTTAATAAAACGGTTGAGAAACATCATTACAAAAAAAAAAATCATCATTGAAAAAGAACTTTTAACGAGCTAATCTTTAGCTCATTAACCGTTGACATTTTGGATTTGTTGTTATTCCATAGGCCAGCTGTTATGTTGTTGTTGTCGTTGTTGTTGTTGTTGTTGTTGTTGTGCGTACACTTTTGGCATATTTCCTGAGGTAACTTGATTACTGTCTCTATGTAACATTCAGACTTCAGGGTCTGTCGTCTGCTAGCACCTAGCTGACAGCGGCGCTAACCGCGGTCCTGGAGGTTTAGCATCACATCTAAGGCCAGTTTAAAGCTAACAGTAAAGCTAAACCTGATCTTGCTTTCTCTTTGGACTCTGGAAGGAAACTAGAATTGCGGTCCTGGAGGTTTATCATCACATCTAAGGCCAGTTTAGAGCTAACAGTAACGCTAACCTAAACCTAAACCTAAACCTGATCTTGCTTTGTCTTTGGACTCTGGAAGGAAACTAGAATACTACAGAGATTGAACCAGCCACTCAATGGTTTTGCTGTTAGGCTTGGGCACTAACCACTCTACCAACGTGTGGCCCGATAATGTTATTTTTATACATAGAAAATCTGCACAAATATTTGCACTAAAGCCACACAATGACACAATATATAAATGAGAAACTGCAGTAACTGGTCGTTGTTTTTCCCATATGCCCCCCCTGCCCCCCCCCAAAGATACCAGGCTGTGGAGCAGTCCTGATAGATCCCCATTACCCCAGGTGTGACCCCTCACTGCTCGGTTCATTAAGCCAGCCACCCCAGTGTCAGGGACTCAAGTCGAGATTTAATCACAACTTCCACTCTCTTGCCAATCACAATTAGATCCTGATAAGCCTCTCTAGGATGGCACCCGGGGGCCTTCACACACCGCCACGGGTTAATTTGCAAGCAGCGAGGGCCAGGCTACGAGGGCAAAGGTCATTTGATAGAATACAGAGGGGATGTGTGTGTGTGTGTGTGAGAGAGAGAGAGACCGCGAGGCTGGGCAGCAATTATAAAAAGCATCTGTATTCATGCGTTTCATTTGTGGCTAATGGCTACATCACCTTCGTGGAGGTGGGCTGATAGGATGCGGCCCTTGATGGGAATTAGCTTTTGGGTGGTGTTCAGGTCGCCGGAGGACTTCCTTCATCTTTGCCGTTTCCATCATCACATCTCTGAGGTGTTTCTGTGTGTGTGTGACTCTGGACAAATGTTCTTGTCATGTTTTATCAAATAAAGACAAAAACCTGAGTAAAGTACGGTGTGTAGTCGTGTCAGATGCCCACTGCCTCAAAATTGGATCTGTCAGTACAGTGCGCTGCCAGTTGGACAGAAAATCTCGGCGCCGCTGACTGAACATGGTACAGAAAACACATTTACCAGAGGAGACAGACCGCTTTATTTTGCCCTGTTTATGATTTCATCTTTCTGACCTCCCGTCCTGTGGTGCAATGTCATTTCCAGGCCAGCTGGCAGCGGGGACGTGTGAGATTGTGACGCTGGACAGAGACAGCAGCCAACCGAGGCGGACCATCGCCAGGCAAACAGCTCGCTGCGCCTGCAAGAAGGGCCAGATCGCTGGGACTACAAGAGCCAGGCCTGCCTGTGTGGACGGTAAGAGAAGAGAATACTCACCTGCTTATGCTGGAATGTATTTGTCTTTTGGATAATCTTGGCTGTAGAGTAGAGGTCACTCATAGACAGACCCTGGTCTGGAGGTGGAGGTTGAGCTGGGCGCTGAAAACTGCACCTGAGGAAACGTTGACATTTGTTTGTTAAAGCTTCTCTGGAATTTAGGATAAAAATACTCATCTTCATATGTGATATTGATCAGCCAATCAAAATCATGCAGTTGAATGAGTTGAACTGCAGAGTATCCACATTGTTGTGGACCTTGTACCATGTGACATTTCTTTGGTGGTCATTCTAATCCAATGGCAGCGCTCGTTGGTCATTAGTAACTGAGTAACTGGGATTGTTTTACTGACATCACTGACTTCAAGAGCGTAGTCAATATGTCAACAAGCCGTTGTGGCCGAGCCGGCGTCAGGAAGGGTGTCGTGCGGAGGTCAGGGCAGGACCGGCGGTTTGGGTTTGTTGGAGGACGTTGACGTCTTGTTTTTTCCTCGGTGACGACACAGAGGTGTCTGTGATTGAAGGCACTGCCTGGGCTCACGGCTCCCACTGTCTGATCATGAGAGCTTTGCATCATTTGTGCGACGACAGAGGTTTCCGCCGGTCTGTGTGGGGCTGAGAGCTGAGCTTCATATCAGAGGTTTGACCTTTTTGAAGGATTTATTTTCTTTCTTTTAACCAGGCGGCTTCACACTGAGATTTGTGTGATTCCTCTAAGTCCTGTGGAGAACAATCTGATCTCGTGGACAGAATGGGTCTGTACCTCCCCCCCCCCCCCCCCCCCCCCTCTCACACCTCTTTTTGCCAGCAATAAGTCCAACGGATATAAAACCCAGCTAACTCCACAGTATCAGTTGTGAGCTGCAGGTATTTCCCACCGCCTGCTTTCAAGCAGCCCTGTTACATTTGTTCCTGCCTGGTGCTTGTCATTTTTTATAAAAGGCTCTGAGTTTATCGACCGACTTTTAAAAAGCGTGTTCCGGTGGAAGGCGGCGGCGGCGGAGTCTGTGCTGCAGCGGGCTACTAAGAAACAAAAACAGACAAAAAAATATTTTAAAAATATGTCAAACGGTGTCAGACTTCTTTTGATCTCAAAATGCTTAAAATATGAAATTTAATATTTGATGAAGTAACTTAATACACAGCAAATACTGTCAACAGACAGTACTGCACTATAGTGAGAGAATTTATTACTAGAACAGCTGAATTGTCCTCTTTGCCTCCGTCTTTGTTAAAATTTTTTATTTAGCTGTCCGGCTTTACTAGAACAGCTGAACTGTTGGACGTCCTCTTTGCCTCCGTCTTTGTTAAAAATGAGTTCATTTTCGTTACAGAATTGAGACGAAATATTGCAATATTTCAATGCATTGATATTTTCTTACATCCCTGGTGAAAACAGATCTAAACTTTATTAGTAAATATTACTTTTCTTTCTCAAAGCCCTTGGTCCCTCCATGTTACCTCAGGACAGGATGTGTTGGCTGTCGATGCACAGATCGATCTGACAGTGTTGGGTTTTCGACGTCTTCTGTCGTGATGTCGTATTTGAAACCATTACTGCTGGAATAATTTTCCTAAACATATTTGGGGAACCTCCAGTTTGCTTTACTGTTTGCAGTCCAGTCTTGTTTTTGGCTGCCACGTCTGTCCATCCAGACCACGTCTGGTTGACCTGTTGTTGGACAGTAGTCTGGTGAGCCGTGGTCCTCCTCTGTTGTTCTCTGTTGTTCTCTGCTACACTGGCCAACCGCTGCGTCGACAGACCGCAGTGTTTCGCCTGTTTCCTTCTTCAAAAGAGCTTGAACAGCACATCTTCACTCCTCCGTCTGCTTGGAGATATTTGCCTGTGAGAGACTGTGCTGATGTAATTCAACTGCCTTGTTTCCTGTTGCTGTGTTCTGTCTGTCCAAGGTGTTTGACTTTTTGACACTCACTGTAATCCACAACACCAACGTAGATCTGGCAGCGTTCGACTGTTGCTCAGTTTTGACGGTGAATGTGTAAAACACACACACGATGGTGACTGTACATTTATATAACTGTTAACCTACAGGGGGTTATCAATGGTGATCAGAAATCATGACCTTAGTTGGATTTTTCTCTGTTTTTCTGCAGCAAGAATTTAAAGTAACATTAAATAAAAAGTCATTCTGGTGAAAACATTTTTATATTTTGGCATTTTTCTTGTTTTATTGTCGTCCAAATCGGAGCTGCTGGTCCTTACCAGGTTAGTTGTTGTTTGTTTACTCAGACTCAGAGTCTGCGTCTGACTTTGGGGACAGTGAAGGGAGCGTGAGAAAGAGGGAGAGATAGTGATAGAGAGAGAGAGAGAGAGAGAGAGAGGAAGAGACATAGAGTGAGAGATAGAGTTTTGAGATGAAAGACCCCAAACGCAACAAACGGGGTTTCAATCAATTTTAATCTACTGGAGTCCTTGAGGTCTAGTCCCTGTTGTAATGTGCCGTCGCCTTGGCCGACACCGTGTCCTTCACGCCTCACTCTCTGTCCCCCTGCATCCACGCAGGATAATCCATAGCTCCATCAACGGCCTCGGCTTCTGTCTTCCAGGCCAGTACAGTACGTGGTGATGATGAAAGCGCTGACGCCACAGTGTGGTCGATCCCGCAGTGCCGTTCTGCGTTCTGGTGCGTTTCCCCCTTCTGTGTTTTTTTTTTTTTCTGTTTGGCGAAGCTGGAAAATGAAACAATCTGCCTACAGGAGGCGCTCTTTGTCACGAATAAGTCCATGAATGAAAGAAAACCTGAGATAATCACATTCTCTCTCTGACGCTTTCTTTTGATTCCTCACTTATTTTTTCTTTCTCTCTCCGTATCCACCCTTTGCCACCCCCCCGACCCACACACACACACCACACAATCACTCTCTCTCGCCGACTCTGCCCATTCGAGGCCCATATCGCAGCCTAGTATCACATAAGTACACGCTCTCCCATTTGTAATTTCATGCTCTTGAGCCTTTTTACCTTTGTGCTCGATGACTTTTAAGAGAGCTGATATTGATTGTTATTAAGAGAGCGAGAGATGAGAGAGAAGCAGAGAGTTGCCTTCAGCTGAAACGACTGATGGAGTCGTGTCGACGATGGAGCGGCGGGG